CTCTTGTCATCATTGGTTCAGCACTTGAAGCCTAAGATAAGAAAAATTTCGATCGATGAGTTTGATAGGAGCTATTTACTTACACGTTGCAAAACGTCAAGTTTCAATTTTGATAAAGGATTTTGATAAGAATTCAGACAAGAATCATGACCATTGTGTGATGATCGTGTTAATAAACAGGAGGATGACGAAGGGGGCTTCTGAGATGATGATGGCTATTAAAAACAAAAGGAATAAAAAAGATAGTCTTATCAACGATGTATATGATTACCGGTGAATCTTTATCACTATTAACAGATGGTAATGAATTTGAATCGGAATTATCACCGTCTGCTTCGTAACCAGGTCGTTGAATGTTATTATTATTGTTGTTATTAACTGAATAATCGATCAATAAATTCTATTTATTTGCTTTTCTTGCAATATTTACCAGAATGCTCGATCTTTTTCGTAGCTAACGATGAAGATGTTGACGATGGTATTTCGTTTGGGGGTAGGATGGCAGATAATCCAATTGATTGATATTTTGATATCTGACTTTGTAAATCTTCGATCTTTCTTTCCTGAAACAGATGTATATACATATATCAAGTAGACAACGAGTAATTATAGTGTCGTAATTACTTTTTCGTCGTTTGATTTGACGAGCGATTCAATACGTCGTTTCAAACGTTCGATATCGTTTTCTAGGAAAGATAGATAGAATTGTTTGTTAATGACATTGGAAAAGGAAATGGAGAAACAAATATGAACAAATGTGAATGTATGAATAGAAAACGAAGACGAAAAATAGACCAACAGAAGGCGATAGAAAAGAAAAGAAACGTTGATAGTTTGAACTCGGCAATACGCGAATGTAGAATGACCTCGACAATCATCAGCTGACACACTCGTACACGTACGCATACAGATCGCCATTCTATATTATCACTTTTCCTTCTTCTTGTTCGTACTTACCACGACGAATAGAAAATTGTGCTGGATATCTAGGCGGAAGTGAACTATTTCCAACATGTGAAAAGGACAAGCTCCATGGTTTAGAATTGATTTCAGACGTGAGGAAGGACGACATTTGATTTCTAGACAATGTTCTTCAGTTAGAAATCCAGTAGAGCACGAGATAATTGCTTGATCGATCGGACAATCTTGTACATAGATATCGTGCAAATAACGAGAGAGAAAAAGAAAGGGAAATATAATAGGAGAAAGAAGAATCTAATATAAAGAAGAGAACAGAAAAATATCCAGGAAAACAGTACTAACAACAACGACAGAATCATCATCATCATCACTATCATCGTGATGTGTCTCCTCTCCCTATTGCCTCGTTCTTGTCCATAAAGAACGTTTAACCTTGCCTTAGAGAGATTGATCAAATAGAAATAAACTCATATAAATGTCTTTTCTTTCTACGAAATAGCCGAAGACTACTTGCTTCATTAAACTTTTCTTACCCATAACTGATGACGGAGTGGCACGTCCATTCAATGCTGATGTTGATCGCGAACTGATCCAGTCGTGATTACCATTAGCTAGACGACACTTATATGCTTCGTTTTCTTCCTTGAAATCATAAAGTTATCTTGAACAATCACAAGTCGAAATCGAACAAACATACTTGAAGTCGACGAACTTTATCTTCAAGTTCATAACGTTCTTTCTCCAGTGTATCCAGTCGAATTTTAAAATGATTGATTTCATTTAAAAACTGCGATGAATCAATCATAGTTTGCGACGGATCCTAAAATCATCAATGACGAATGTTGCTGATTTCCTTAACAATTCACACATAAACTTTCTTATATAAATATCAGAAATTCTGTTTCTCTATCATTAACATATATACTTAACTAACCTTTAGTTTTTTCGATGACATTATTCCACTTGTGTGCTGCCGTAAAAGCATAGCTTGGGTATTATCACCGTTGTTAGTATTACTATGACTGAAATTGCTACACGAGAGTGTCTTAACTACGAGACTCATTTTCGAATCAAATGAACGAATGCGACTGTTGGATTAAATACTGACCATGGCGAAGGTACGAAAAGTACAGGCGTAGACAAGCCAAGCATCAACCTGCTCTCTGTTGCTTTCTCCTTCTCACTTTTTTTCTTCTTTCCTTTACTATTATTTTCGTATTTTTCTTTGCCTTTCTTCTTCTTCTTCTTTCTCACTCCTTTGTGTGTGTCCTTCTTTGCCTAGGAGTGTTCTGTTTTCGACAAAGTTGATGACGACGACGACGACGACTCACACATTCAATATGTACATACACATTCGGCATCTGCAATTACATTGAGCAACTACGGATGTGTACGCGAGTATAACCAATGCACAAGTCTATTTCATTGTTCTTTTTCTTTATCGATATATATATATATACATATATTGTGCATCTGATTCAGTATGTCTGACCGAAGTAATATTGCTTTTGTACTATTCTGCTCGAGCCATCTAATGAGACGGATAGAGAGAGAGAGAAGAAAGAATACATACGTGTTGAATAAAAGATGGCTGCTGATGAACATGTTTAGGATGAATATGCGAAGTATTTGTTATTGAATTTCGATACTTGGGTTTGGTTCGACGTTGTAATTTTTCGTATTCTTGAAGAGTATCTTGTTGAAGTTCTAATTTTTCACTTAAAACTTGAATTTGCAAATTTAATGAACTACGTTCATTTTCCAGCCGATGTAACTTTTCTGTCAAACGATTCGAATCCTAATCATACATAACATACAGACAATTAGCTATGTGGAAAACTCATCATTGAACATCTGGACCAATCAAACCATGAAAAAAAAATGAGATAATTCTTTATTTTTTCAATCGAAGACTCAATCTGTTGTCTCCATGTGTGATTGTATACGTTGGAGAGGCGATGTTTTTTTAAGACGAGAAAAGGTCTCTTTTGTTTTCTTTTTCTTCTTATATTCTTAATCATCTTTCCGCAACAGACACTGCGCTTTTTTCATCATGCAAAATTCCGTTGTATAATTAGATAGCAAACAAAAAAAAAACTATTCTTACCCAGAATGGTTCCATAGGAAAATGTTGTTGTTTATCATCTCGTGGCATCTCATCTATCGTGTATGATACTGGGAGAAGTTAATGAACACGATAGTACTCATTTTCTTTCCTTCTTTCTTCTTACTGCATGCACATATGTTTTATAGCTTTCTGAACAAGATCAGGCAGACCAATGAACTGAATGTATATCTTGATGTACGTAGGAGAAAGTGTGCTGGCATGTATATAAGAGAAGGAAAAGGGCCAAAGAGAAAGACCGATAACAGACAGCGATATGTCACAGATATGTCGAGAGATGAATGGTATAAAAGTTGATGCAATCAATGTACAAATCGGAATCGAAAGAAGAAAATGAACATTGGTACATGTCAACATCATTTGTTCGAATGACAAGACGAGAAGAAATTTAATTAGGAGTAATGAATTGAAAGTCGAGCCAAGAAGAAAAGGAAGAAGAAGTTTTCTCTGTACTCTTCATTTATTTTATGGAATAATGTATCATAATGATCAATTGCTTTTTCTTTCTATCTTGTCTTCGCTGACATCTCGATCTAATCAAAGTCTACATTCAGTATCTTGTTATTTATAATTATTATTTATTATCATTTGATATCGATTAGACATCGATTAAGACCTCGCTTTTTTATTCGCAGTAGATGATGCATTGATAAGAAAACGAATTAATCTTACCGTTGATTTAGAAACACAAGAATAATCCGCAATATTCAACGATAATTCTGTCCGATATCGCTGATGGTTGAGTAAATTTGCCTCGAGTTCTTCCGTCTTGTTGTTATTTAGAATATTACTATTTACCGTCGTCAGATTAACATTAGGCATTGATGATGTCGGTAACTTGAGTGGCATTCTGCCAAAAGCAATATTTGACCATTTTGTTGTTTCGCCCATTTTCATTCCAACCATGATGAAAGATTAGTATAGGTTTCTAATCACTATTTGTCAAACGCGATTAAACCAGTCGATGATTAGAACATCATTGCATGTGATGAACGAAAAAGTGATCGTATATAAATATATCAAATGGATGTTGTAATACACCTAGTTTGAAATCGATCTATCTTGATCGAGAACAAAAACTCATAGAAATGAATCTATTCAGTAAGTATAATGATAGTTAATGATCGACATTCATATGTGGTCAAGTCATATGGACAATATCATCTCATACATTGAAATAGAGAGGGAAAGAAAGCAGACGAGACTGATGTTTTTTTACGTTTTTATTGTGTTAATAATCTCGAATAGATATATTACAATTGATGTTGAAGATGCAAATGATTGAAAATATAATTTTGTTAACGAACGTGACTGTGTCCGTCTAGTTCGATCAAGTACAAAGAAACTAGTCGGCTTCCTATTGTATCAACTCATACAAACACTTCTCATTAGCTTTCGTCATTGTTCATGTGAATTCGCTCATATCATAAATATACGTTTTGTGAACACGGGCACATATGGAGTTTTGATGTTTAATATATCTGTCGATAATACATTGCATCATGAACATAACAAGCTGGAGCTTATTTGTTTTATATTGTTCGTATCTGCGCGCTTGATGATCGATCGATTTCGGTCGCAATGGACATTTTTATTCTTCTTCTTTTTACCCTCTCTCTTTTCCTCTTGCACAAAAAGCGAACGGACCAACATGCAAAAAATAGTTTATGCTTGTGTGTATGTTGAATAATGGGGTTTTAACAATAAAATAGGAGAAAAAGGTAATAAAAGGCAAATGACGTTAACAACGGTAAAGTAGAAGAAAGAAAAACGAGAAAATTTTGATCTTTTCCTAAGTGTTTATGACCGGCTCTTGAAGAGTAGAGAAAAGAAAAAAAAAAGATGTTAATGAACATGAGAATGATTTCAGGCACTTATCCTCACACACACACGTATTCACGAAATGAATGTTTGAGATGAGATATGAAAGAAGAAGAAACTGACGAGATATTATTCAACTTTTCGTTGCCGATTCAGTTCGTGTATTGGACTTGGAATCTGTGTTTGAAGGAACTTTTGATTGATCTAACCAAAATTTTTCCACCTATAACAAAAAGAACTGGGCTTTCTATTTTGCTACCGAGAAAAGTTTACCAGTTTGATGATATGAGTTTTTGTATCATTGTCTCCTTTGGCTGATGCTTTTGAATTTGCTGCGTTCGTTGATTGAGTTGGAGCATCGATGGACACATTTTCCGCGCGATATGGATCAACGATTCGAACAGTATTGTTGATCAAAATATCATTATTTGACCAGCGAATCACTTGATTCATTCTAGAAATGAAATTTATCGAATAATTTCTTTGAAAAGTGAACTTTGTTTTGCTTTTACGTCTTTTTGATATCGCGGAAAAGTGCTTGACCAATTCGACTAGCTTTCAGATTAACAAACGAAGCTTCCTTTTTCTTTTCGTTTTCATTTTCTGTTTGACGCTTCTTCACCTAGAATGAAATAAACCAATCATGTTCAATAGAATCCAAACCCTAAGTCTAATTCTCTTGGACATACTTTGTTAATATCAATTGGATAGAGTGGTTCGAGTGTTTCATCGTTGGACTCTTGCACAACAGTCCATTCTCGACAATGAATAAGGTTAATAACAGCAATAGATGTTAAACCTGGTTTTGAACCTTTCATATCTAAATCGAGCATCTTCTTCAATTTCTTTATTTGATTTTTCGTGATTTCACTTACGTAGTGTAACTAAATTCGATCCATTGTCAAAAGCCACCACTTTTCCCGTTCGAACAGTATCGAATATGGTTGTTAAGCGTACAGTACTGTTCACACGTAGATTATTCGGTGGCGGCGATGGTGTTGGTATTGGACTTGAATGGTTACTATTGTCTCGTTTGACAGTTTGTGGATTTTCATGATGATCCATCAAACGCATTTCATTAAACTAAAAAGAAGCGAAAACTTTCTTGAAACATCAATACATTCGCAGGAGAAACGATCGTATTTTGTTGGTTTATTTATCATTTGTCTTTTGATCTGTCTATGAATATACAAAAAAAAAGAAGAGCTTCATTGGATAAAAAATGTCGATTAATTCAAATCTGAGATTAATACATAAGAAAAACATGCAAAATGTGATCTGACCTAAATGAAATGTGAAAATTCATTGATTAAATGTGTCAACTAGTCAAACAAGGAAAACAAAACGAAGACTAGAAAAACGGTTAGGAAGAAAAGAAGTTAAAAGCATGATTTCACTGATTGCTGTCGATGGCAGCAGCTACTTTGTAGCCGCGGTAAGTCGGATTCTGATATTTGACAGTTGCTTGTCGATAAAGCGGATTAACATCCTAGGAAAATGTTCGATAGAATAACGATTTTCAACACAAGTGCTCTTACGGTTTCCCATTTAGCCTTTTCACGTTCTTGTTCAAATTTAGCAAATTCCCGTCGATCGTGTAAGGTTGCTAACATACGCCAAACCATCAAACAGAATAATCCAAATGCTAAGATGCTGGAGACAATGATAATGATCGTAGAACGAACAGATAAAATGCGTCGACAATCTGCGAAAACGAAAAAAAGTTGAGAAATGGCAAGAGAAAGACGAATTTTACTTTTTGTTTTTTGAACTCGAAGAACTAGTTGATCTTTTTCAGTATGGTATGTATAAAAGAAACGACATTGGTCTTGTTCATCATCGAATTGACATAAACGATGGTATCGATCTTCTGCAAGAAGAGAATATTTGATTGCAAAGAAGTGATGAGCTAGGTCAATTACTTCGAGCGTCATCAATAATCTCAAAACGATATGGGCATTGTTCGCATTGCTCTTCCGACAAGGATCCACTGTGAAATACTTTACAAAGAACGCAATCTTTCGTCGCTGTACATCGATGTTCACATGTCTAAAAAGCAATCATGAAAATTTTTATTTCTTTGATTGAAATGAAATCGATTAAGAGATTCCCAGATGAGAAATGTAATAAACGTAATTAAATGTATACAAGTCCTCAGAGAAATCACATCTTTTCCATGAAGAAAAGAAACTTTCAATGCTAGAACTTGAAAATGAATAACTTACAGGACAATCTTCACAGGTAGGCCCAAGATAGCCCGAATCTTTGTGACATTTGCATCGACCACATTCACAAACACCTTGATTGTTACAAATAGTCTAATAAAAGAAAATGAGTAGGAAAAGCGAAGAGTAAAATTGCAATTACATTATTCACGAGACAGCCATCTGTTTTTGTTGTGCATGAACAGTCATCTCCTGTCCACTCTTCGCGACATTTACATCGTTTATCGCAACCACATAAGCCGTGTTCTGGCCCTAAATGGTTAAATAAACATAGCAAAGCCAATAGATCTATTTCCGCCACGTACCTGAGCAGACTAAATCATTTTTTCTAGGGCACGAAAAATCGTCACATTCACAATAATCTCCGTAGATACGTTGACCCGGCTAGAATCACACATTATAGACTACCGATTCTGCATTTCTACATGACTTACTTCAATTGTCGCTGTTTCACATTTACACCTTCCACAAACGCATTGGCCTCTTCCCGAACAGATATCCGATGATCCTGGTCTAAAATTTCTTAGCTTTATCAAAGCCCCAAAACAGCTTAAATTGCAAGTCTTACTTTTTACATTGCTGAATTTTCGATTCAACTGTTGGCGAAGCTGTATCACATTCACATTCACGTCCATAGAAACCTTTCGCGCATGTACAAACACCACACTCATATGTGCCATGATTCGAGCACTGAGGACTATTGACTTGACGCGGAAATTTCGAGCACGAACATGTACAATTCGTTTGAACTGTAATACGCATTTTATCATTCAATCCATGAGTATAGATAGAGAATGTCGTCGGAGCACCATTGTTAACACATTTAGTGGCCAAAATTTCTACTTCGAAGTTGAGCTAAACGAAATGATGTTATCTTAATATAGATTCATTGGAAAATACTTACGACACCGCCAACGTTAACCGTACATTCAGGTTTATCTCGTTTGTTTCTAGATACAACTCGTCAGTCAAAGTTTTCAAATTACATGTTAACTTACTCTTGACAATCAGGTGTAAACTTAACTGCCAAACCATCAGGCAAATCATTTGAAATCATCATCATCACGGACGAGGAGATTTTCTAAATAAAAAAAAAAGTCATTCTCAGTCGTGTTGAGCTTTTACCAGGTGAATCATACTCGATAATTTTGACTAATTAAATTCACGATATTACTCGAATCTTGTTTTAGTTCACCGACTACAGCGCCATCGATCAATTCAGTCAATGTTTGGTACAATGCCAATTGAGATTGTGTTACCGCAAAGATAATATTCACATTTTTTTCACTCAATTTCGCACTTATCTGACCAATAGATGGATAATCCTTGAAAACAACAATGTTATTTCAATCAACATTCGTTTTCATCATTTACTTGTTTATCACTATGAGTGTATTCATTGTTGGCCATATGACATTTACCATCATTAGGTTCAATTATACCAGCTAACTAAAAAACACAAAGATGACTTCGGAAATAGTCAAGTCTTGTCATATATGAATAGATCTCTTCTCGCGCGTAATTAATCTCTCTACAACTAAATCATAATGTTTTATTGCCCGAGGCGAATTACTAATTTGGTAATCTTTTCAGTACATCTGTTACATACTCTTCCGTCGCCGGCATAATGAAAACCAGCATCTGTTGAGAAAACAATTAATTTTCGGGAATCATTTCTCCAGCCAATCACATCCTTAAAGAGAAAAATCGTCAGTCAAATCCAAGAGCTTTCTGCTAGGACATACATCACAAACAATAGCTTGCATGATAGCATCTAATCCACCTTCCGGTGCATCGATATTTCCCGACACTGGTGCTTCGCGTACTTGGTACTAAAATGAACAAACATGCATAAACTTCTCACCGATACATCAATCAAATTCTTACTTCGAACTCAGCAACATTATCCGATAAACTCATATGATTTTTAAAACCATAAGCTTTTACACATGGTCCATTATAACTAGATGGACATGGACGCTCAACGCTAGAATAAAAAAGATCTTTTAAAAAGATCGTTCTCCATAAAGAATAACATACGTGTTAGGTGCTGGTTGAACAAAGGGTGGAACATTCTTATCAACAAATGAGCCAAAGCCCAATCGGAAATTTTTTGTAATCGATTGCATCTGTGTTGCTAATATTCGCCCTAGATAACTCAGTTTTTCTTTATCATCAAGCATAGAATGTGATAAGTCCATGAGAAAGTACAAATCTACTGGATAATCTTCCGCTTGACGAAATTTTATCGGAATTTTTTCCGAATCATCTAAATTACCAAATGGCATTCGTCGAGGAAAATCAATAAATTTTCTCTTACTAATTCGTAAAACAACATGGACAGCTTGAGGCGATAATTGAACAGCCTGTGATGTACTATTAATCGCATTGGAAAGTGAATCATTTTGTAAGACATAATGGTAACTTTGAAATGAAATCAAATGATCCGAACACGTTAATTGTAGATTATCAATTGTATCGCAGTGAAAAAAAGAACCATTACGCGATGACATATCCGTTGAATTCTAGAGAAAATACATTCCAACCGAATTTTTCTCGACATTTTCTTACCTGAGTACACCAAGCACATTGGTTTGATAAAGATAAACATGATGAACATGTTTCTTTTGAATTACATTGTTCTAAGTAACAAAAGAAGACTCTTTCAGGTGAAAAAAATAACCGCAATCATTGTCTTTTTACCTAAACTAGTGATGACATGAATTACGAATAGAAATAAAATGATTAAATTGATTAAGGATGATTTGATCAGCATTGTTTCGTGGAACGAGAAAGGAAAAAATAGGACACGGAATCAAATTGTATCTAGGCGTTGTGATGGGAAGAACAACAAAAAAATGATACAGTACACAGATCGATCGATGGAACGAAGGACCGACCACAGCAGCACAACTGACAAATCATCGAACAGTATATAGATGTCGTCGTTGATCTAAGAGATTTTCTTCTATTGCGATTCGTGTATCTCGAACTCTCTTCTGAATTCTGAGTTTCTGATCATGTATAATGGAAGTTGACGAAGTATAAATCGTTCCATGGTTGATTATTTAACTATCGCATATCATCAGAGGCTTTTCCTCTAGTATTTGTTTTGTTTATCAGTGTTAATTTTATTTTCCGTGTTACCTTGATTATTCTTACAACACCGGACTCTTTTTTTCTTCGCGTTCTTTTTCATTTTGTACTACGATAAAGAAAAAAAAACAAGAAAAAACCTTGCTCGTTCTTGTATAAATATTTTTTTTGTGTTTCATTTCATAATACATTCGTCTGAGAAGAATATGTCTTCGCTACTGTCTTTGCCATGTGTAGCTGATAAGTGCCAACTAGCATCTCTTGCACTCTGCCAATGCTGTAAAAAAGATTTGTGTATTGACCATCTGAATATACATGCCAATCAACGGAACGAAAAACTTTTGCCATTTGCTGATAAAATCAACGTTTTGTTGGAACGTTTCAGTAAATTTTACGATGATGACCAAAGTGGATTAAAACAATTGGAAGAATGGAAACGACAAGCGTATAAAGTCCTTGACAGTTTTTGTGAAAGAAAACGACGAGATTTTCTGGGTGAAGCAACTGATAAGCAACGAGAGCAATTAAATGAGATGCATAATAAATTGAAAGAATTGATACGGACGAAGGGTGGTATACAGCAAGATTTCGATGAATTTTCTGAGAATATGTATATGATCGAACAGCATTTGGATAAACTGGAGCAAATTCAACTGACACTTCCGCCATTGACTATCGATGATCAATGTATTCTTCGACCTGAAGTCTCGCCAAACGAATCATTGGAAAAACATTCAACAGTACAGGTTGAAAATACATCAATTGTGCAAGTGGATAAAATAGTAGCGAAAAAGGAATCGTCGGAGAAATCATCGAAAAAACGAAAGAAATCATCGCGACACTTGGACGATTCACCCGATAGATCTCCGCGCCGACGAAGTCGATCACCACGTAGTCACAGTGATCGTTCTAGGCGAAGTAGGTATTTAACAACGCTTCTCAGACAGTTACAAACGAGTCTGTTTCTTTCAGGACATCATAGAGTATCCGATTCGGATACATCACAATCCTCGAACGATAAGTTCAATTGTAATGATTGTCGTGGTTGCCGTTTCTATCAAGACCGATTCGGGCCCGGTTTCATGGATGCATTTGGTCCGTGTTCATGTGAGTGCCACAAGTGGGCCTATGATAATTAGACAGATTTTGTACCGCAAAATTTTCTGTGATTCTCTGTGTTTTTTTTAAAAATATAGTTGATGAATTTTTTTCTACACGAATGCCACGCATAGAGTATCGATTTTGATAATCTCGATTTTTATTAATAAAATATTATGAACACTGAACTCATGCGTCTGTTGATGATGATTCATTTTTAATTTCGATATTCTATGCACGTGCAGCATTATCCTTGTGGGAGAAAACAACAGAAATGGCATCAGAGTGAAACCTTCGAATGTTCAACTGAGGAACAATCTTGTTTGCGACCAGATTGAATTCTCGTCGAGTTTCGGAAAAAATTCCTTTGATAAAATCGAAAAAAGATATTCTCTATTTCCAATTATTTCCAGTTCATTCAAACATCCAAAAAATATTCATCGATAGAAACTATTGGATATTTTACTTTATCTGATTGTCATTATGTGTTCATTTAAAGATATATGATACGTGAATGCATTCATCATTGTACCTATATATTTATTTCATCTAGGTGCTTGTTGTTTGATTTATTTAAATAAGATTTTCTATATTGCTCAAATTAGAATCAAACGAACACAAACTACTCCCAAATAATGAATTTTATTTAAGAGATATTTCTCTAACGATAAGTCTGAGGTTCTGTCTCATTAGAAGTGATCAATGTTTAGTTGAGTATGTAAACGAAATTTCATCGCTAAACGTTTTAATTATTGTATTAAATCAAGATTAAGTTTATTTTATCGAGAAGAACGATTAAATCTAAGAATATCTTTTGTCGTTGATTGTATTACTATACATAGAACGAAAAAAAGAAATCAATTAACAACCAGAATGGAATTTTATCAACAACGGTAACCGACTGGTTTCTGTAAATAAAAAATGGAACTGAATATATTCTCTTTCTCGTAGAGAAGAGTCTTAAAAACATAAATTGTTTGCTTGCTTGCATGCCCACTGGGTCAAAAAAACATCGAAAATCGATATTTTAGGAAAAGACATTTTCAGAGGTATTTCGATGCAAAAACTTCGAATCCGATGTTAGTTTTCACCAATTAGTAGCTGCTACTAACTTACTGGTAAATTACTAGTAAAATTACTATTATCAATAGAACTTGACCAAACGGATTTCGGAGTCGAGGAACTCGAATCTGATGTTAGTTTTGTTAAACAAAGGGTATCGATTTTCTAAAAAAATATATAACCATACCGTGCCGGCTATAGTCAAGCATATTAGTATGATAAATAAAACATTGTGTTCAATGTCTAGTGACGTAATAATTAATAACTGATCTTCATAAACGCTCTTTGAAGCAATCCCATATACCTGACAACAATACTGAACTTCTTCCCGGTCTTTTACCTTTAGTACCAAACATGCCTGTGCTTCTCACCGATAATATTGCCTGTGAACTAGGGCTTTCAAATGGTAGTCAAGGAATATTTCGAAAGCCCACATATGATGATCAGGAGGGTCCGAGCGATTTAAAGATAAAAAGCGAAATACTTTCCTCAAGTACAATCTACATACGAAAACCAAACATCGAGTGTAAAATGGGAGAAAACTTCCACAAGTCACGCGAACCCAAGCACCAATTGTACCTGCCTTCGCAATAATTACATATAAAGCGCAAGGATTCGCAATGAACAAATTTGTAGCCGATCGTCAAGTTCCACTTCAGACATTGCAAGTAGCGTCAGTATATGTACCACTCCGTAGAGTGAAGAGAGCGGAAGATATAGTCATTCTTCGACCTTTTGATATGAATGTTCTACAAGTTCGATCCTCTCTTGTTCAAGACGCTGAACTGAAACGCCTAGATGAACTTTACAAAAAGACAAAGCGAGAATGTGCCTCTTTCATTTTGTAAATATGTGTAAATCCATACTTTGCTAAGAAGTCTAGTGTTATTGTAGGCATATAAAACGTAACATTATTTGAAATTAACTTAAAATAACTATTTTCAAATGTTCATTTCCTTTACCTCTATTCACACTTATATTAATTACTATATAATTGTTTGTTTTCTGTCATTGTATCAGATATTGACTATCGTATTTTCGTTGTTTCGTTTTTTGATGTAATCATCCATAATCTTTCTAATTGTATTGGTATTTCTTGAAAATATCGAATCTATGCTCGAAATAAACTTATATACACCATAATGCATTAAAAATATAGCATCCGCAAGCGATATTTCTACGAGAAAGATCTAAGCGAGTCTGCCGCGACGAACGTTACTTGTACGTATTGGCCAGGAAATATATGTTACTCACAAAATCTTGCGAGTTTTGTTAACGAAATGACTAGATTGTCTCGATCTATATTTTCCCATTAAACGATTGCCATGTTTATTACGCAAGTACACCATCAGCCCATATAGAAGTTCTTCGTGACTCTTGAAACTATGCATTAACAGAATTTTAGTTTTTGCAGTGTCAACTAAAAGTAAAAAATATACAGGATTGTACTTGATTTTATCACACAACATTTTACTTGCTTGAATACCACAATATTTCATGAGAAACTGATCTATTTGTATTGTTGTAATTGTATCATGCTCAAGTTGTTCTTGGTCATTTAGTTCTTTGACTAATGTCGACGACCATTGATTGTATACACTACTAGAAAAGGTTGCGTCATCCAAAGAAAAGAATAAGTATGTTCTCTGAAGTAGTATACATTGTACCATACTTCTAGTTGATTCGTTCTTATGACTGATCTAAGCAGACAAAGAACATGAGCATATCAACTGCATCTATTGTACGTTTCATTCACCTTTTATCTAACGTTTGATCTTTTTCGTTTTGATGCTTGATCAGCTGCACTTGATGATGGGGACAAATTGTTTTCATCATCTACCTAGGTCATCGCGGCCTGGTCGGTTCCAACCGGAATTCGATCGGAATCAACAAAAAGTGTACCGGCATCGGCTCAGATATCGAAGAATCCAGTCGCCGGAACGATCGACCTGGATAAAAAGAATTCATTATAGATTAAATTCATTCAACTGATTATGGTCTTATTTACCTGTAGTAAATGGTCGCTTTCCAGTACATATTCGAGTTTGAATTTCTTTCATTTGTTTGCTCAGTTGTTCAATATTGACTTGAACAATTTTACGAACATCATTCGTTCCATCTTCAAAGACATAACGTTGAGTTTCCAAACTTAAGAGTTCTCTACTGGATTGAATTTCTGATAGAACTGACAATTTAATAAAAAATTGAGCTGCATTTATGTCGAGTTCACCACAAAGGCGAGCTATATTTGGTCCGTAGGTCTGCTGTAATAATTTCAGGAATTGTGAACGACAATCTGCTTTGTAAATATTGCATAAAATGGATTTAGGTTTTTTCTAGAAAACAACGAGATTATGTATACACATTTGAATATTAGATGTCATCGAGACATTACCTACGTTGCATTTTCAGGATAGCCCATCCTTATCTCGAATAAAATGGATTAAAATGATTTAATACTATCGTTCATTATTGCGGCTGGACTTTATGCCTAGTCCAATCGTCACCGATCAGTCACAAGAGAGTAAAACCAGATGACACTGCCGTCTGTTTGTAATTTGGAAAAAATTCTTGATTGTAATGATAAAACTATTTCTTTCTAGAAATTTTTCGTGTAAGTGAAGTAGCAAAAGATTTGAGTTTTCACATCAACCACAACGAAATTTTAAGCTTCATTTGATTTGGTAAAATTAACATGAGTAAAACCTATTATTTAGCATTTTTTGTGTTATTATATTAGGGAGAAATGCAGCTTGTATCGAAATCACACCACGATTATTTCAGAAATTGACTAATTTTAAAACTCTATTAGATTCGATAGATATCTATATATATTTAAAATATTCAATGTTTCAATCGAATCTTTTTAGTTTAAATCGCGTCTTCTATCTTTATGAGCTCAGCGTATGTGTTGTACTGTCTATGCATCAATCAACAATTCACGAAGCATAAAACAACCACTGCCAAGATCTGTACCCTCAGCGACAGTGATTGACAACATCAGCAGAAAGATTAAGATCTTGAACAAGGATGGCATATCATTAATGAAACACTGATTGATTCATACTAGCAAAATATAAACGATAACCTTGATTAAAATAACATTTATGTAGCTAAAACTCACGGCTGCTTGCGTTCCCAATCACACTCAGAAAAGGTGAATAATACTAATCATATGATAACAAACAATGAATTAATAAGCAGATGGCAAAACAGAAATTAATCATTATTTGCCTCAAAAGAATATCGAATGGAATAAGGTTACTAATACGAAAGTCTGTATTGGGCATAAAACAACAATGCCCACAGCAAAACACCATTAATTAATGGGTCGAATACCAATGATCGTTCGAATAAAACACCACGATCAGTTGATTTGGCTCATGATTATAACCTATTAAATACCAATGGTCTTGTTGTCAGTAATATTTCAATGATAAATAACGAATCAATGAATGAGAACAAGGAAAAGAGCCAGGTCGAACAATTCGGCACGGAGACCGCCGGCTCCGCTCAGAAACAGCGAGTTTCCTCAGGGATTTTGTTGGGAATTCACGGAATCCTGCTTCAGGAGCCATCGCCCTGGGAAGGATTGAATCTTTGAAATCGGTACAGTTAAAATACAAACCAACTAAGGATTTCATTAACACGAACGAAATAAAAACTGGAAAGCACAATGTAATTATACACTATAATGACATCGACACACTGATAAGTAATGGCATTAATCTAACGAATAATAATTGAAATAATGAGAGGAATATTAATATTATCAACTGTAATCGATGTAATGATCACACACATAATAAAGTTGTCAATGATAAACATGCCATTCATAATGATGATAATAGGATTAACATCGTTTGAAGTTATTTAGGTTATAAATCACACATCTCCAGAGTAAAATTCACAAAATTACCGAGAAAAACAAATATCAATTTGAGAATTGCTTTCAAAAAGAACTAGATCATTTTAGTGGCAGCAAGAAAGGAGACAACGAGAGTAGGAGTGGCTGAAACAACTGATAAAAGAATGAAACAACATATTGATAGTATTAGTAAGAACCATTCTGCATATGGCAACCTGTTGAATCACCATAGAACAGCCAGTTACAAATTCCTACTTGAAGAGCCCACCATCGTTGCACATGAAAACAACAACAAGAAAGCAGAAATAAAAGAAACATCACTCATCAAGAAGTTCAATAAGGATTCTCCTAACTAAGGCTGAAAGAAAAAATGTCTAATATGCAAAACATCAGAAACGCGAACGGTACTAATTTTCAAAGCTAGGTATGCTGAGAACAGTATAGTTTGAAAATATGAATCATCTTCACCCTCACCCTCACCCCATCCTTTTTTTCACAAGCTTACATTTGGTATAAAATTGTAGATGGGGGTGGGGAGTGTTACTGTTGTCTTTTATGGTCGGCAAGGGAGCATAATGGTTATTTAACACTCTGTATAAGATTCATTCTAACAAGGACATTCAATATAGATCAGCCTCGTTAAAACATCCATCCTGATTCTTTTTCAAAAGCGTTTATTCTGGGTGAAATTAGTTGGAATCATAATGTGAGGAAAAAATTGCCAGATTAAAAAAAGTAAAACAGTTCATTCAGAAACAGGATCTCTTCATTTTTTATGTCCAGGTCCATGACCATGTCCGTGTCCGTGTCCGTGTCCACCGCCTCTTTCATTACTATCATTACTTCCACGACGTTGATGACCAGGTGGGCCACCATGAGGATGAGAATTTCTTTTTTCTGAACCCTTAAGAAGGCCACCACAACAATTTCCCATTTTTGTCAATGTTTTTTTGATCAGTAGTGAGTTTGAAAAGTTGCCTTAGTTGATGAAAACAATCAATAGAATAATTCATGTTGCAACGCCTTAAATACGAACGAGAAAAACAATCTGGCGTAATTTAGTTGTTGTCAAGGTAAATACTGCATTAAAAAAGTAGAAATTTTTTCGCTCTACACTCAAAAAATGCCACCCACTTATCTGACACGTGGATTTCGATTTGAATAACATATTTCGAAGTTATTTAGTATAATCGTACGATCGAAATTATTTTAATTTTTTTCAAATAGGCTTCTAAATTGTAAAACTGAATACAGAAAATCATTAATTATACGATATGTTGCCAATGAATAGCAACTAACGCTAGTTGAGGGTGAGGGGAAAACTGCATGGTATATACATACTCCTCATCGTTACGACACACCTTTAAGGTGGTATTTCGACATTGTGCTTCTGGTATCTCAGAAACTATGACAGTTGAAATTGGCGAGCCTGTTGAACAAGAAAGCCATCCAAATTGATCTCGCCGTACTGAATTCATAAGCATTTTTCTTTTAAGAGTCCAGGCGTACAATGGGCACATTCTTCATTCATATATGTACTCGAATAGTCAAAGCTCAAACGGATAACCCATAAATACCGTATTGTGTATGTTTTCCCATGAATAGTACGACCTAAAATAGATGAGAACACTGATTAGATAAAATAATCATTGAATGGTGGAGCTTTGACAAATTATATGTGAAATAAAGCGTATGCTCTAATATATTTTATATAAAATCATTTAAATCAAGTTATAAATATAATTTTGCCCTTATATCTATTGTTTTTCTTTCTAATGGATTCTGCTGCAGGTAAATAGTTAGAAGAATTTGTTTCGATTTATTTTTAAATGATAGTGATATTCCCTTCTGATAAAAGAACTACACGCATTGAGCGACGAGCATATGCCAAATAGTTTAGTTTGAATTCTATGCAATAATTAATTTCGTTATAAACTAAATTAAATGAAATAAATTTTGTTCTTTTTTTCCATAAAGGAATTTATGTGGTATTTTTTATTTGTATCATTGTTTCAATCAATGGTCGAATTATACCATTATCCAAACATACTAATTCAATGTCAGCAATTGACACAGTAACAAATACTGATTTTTCAATTATTTCAAAAAATAATCTAAGAAAAAATGGATGGGATAATTGGGAAGAACCATCAACTGGTCCTCCTGAAGAAGGTACATCTGTATGTTATCCACTTGTTGGATGTTTTGATAATGATCCTCCATTTGATTATGCTGGCTTGGAAGTACCACAAGATCCATCGATAATTAAAACAAGTTTTCTTCTATTTACTTCTTCACAAGCAACAAATCCTGAAATACTTGAATATGATAAAAATGATAAAACAATTATAGATTCTAAGTTCAATAGTTCACAATGGCTAAGAATTATTGTTCATGGTTTTACAAATAATCGACATAGTTCTTGGATTCCACGATTAACTGAAGAATTACTTAAATTGAAGGATGTAATAGATCAATTCTTATTGTAAATTTTTAGAGTTTTGATTGAAATGATTTAGGATGAAACATCTGCCGTATTGGTTGTAGATTGGGGTAATGGAGCAAAATTTCCATTTTATAATAAAGCTGCAGCAAATATTCGATTGGTTGGAAAGCAAATATCTTTACTTTTAAAGAAAATGAAAACACTAAAAAAATTATCCTATGACAAAATACATTGTATCGGTATGTTCAATAAAATCATCTTTTTTTATTATTATTTTTTGAAAAAAACTAATTTTTTCTTTCAAAGGCCATAGCTTGGGTGCACATACATGTGGATATGCGTCAAATGGAATAAATAATCAAATAGGCCGTATAACGGGCCTCGATCCCGCCGGACCATTTTTTGAAGGCAAACCTATTACTGTTCGTCTCGATCAAAAAGATGGCAAATTTGTTGATGTAATTCACACAAACACAGAAATTGCATTGGGTATTGGCTTGGGATCAAAAGATCCATCTGGTCACATTGATTTTTATGTTAATGGTGGTAAACAACAGCCAGGTTGTCCATCGACGTAAATATTATTTATCTTTTCAATAAAAAAAAAAGTCGATTTTTATAAACAATTTTCTTTGTTTCCTAGTGTTGCAGGACTTATTGGTGGATTACTGCCTGGACAAACTGAAAGTAAAATTCAATGTTTTAATGAGTTTATAGAATAGAATAATTTTTTAGGTGGATTTGAACAATCATCATGTTCTCATAGTAAGTAAGAATAACATTAGCAAATAAACAATCTACTTTTTTTAAGGTCGTTCACATGGATATTTTATTGAATCTATTCAGTAAATATTAAAGATTTATCTACGCTAAAAAAAGAAGTATTGCATCATTTTAATTTTAGTTCTCAATGTCCATATACAGCATATCCATGTCAAGATTTTGTATTAGAATATTTTATTATTTATTAAAATCTTAATTTTCAACGAGATTTTTTCTTAGGATAGTTTTCGTAAAGGACAATGTCTTTCATGTGAAACATTGGGTTGTTCTCAAATGGGTAAGAATTACTAAATGATAAAAATTATCTCATTTATTACTTTGTTAAATAAGGTTTTTATGCAAAAGATTCAGTCAATCGTGGTAATATGTATTTATCTACGAAGAGTAATTCACCATTTTGTGGTAAAAGAAAAATATCTCATAAATTATTTTTAATGTAATTATTTAAATATGAATAGGTCATCATTATTATATTGAACTTTCACTTAACGAAAATATGATGAAAACAATTGGAGAAATTCATGTTTCGCTTTATTCAAATTATGAATTATTAACAAATCTGAGCATGACTCACAAGTAAGACAAAGAAATCTATACAAAAGAAAAAGTATTTAGTTCTTATTAGATCAAATGTGGAAATAAAAGGTGGTAATATCCTTCGGCATGTATTTAGTTCGGATATTGATTATAACAATATTGATTATGCTATCATTTATTTCTATAAAGGAAAATCTTGTTCGTTAATCAAATATTTCATCTTTTATTTTTACATAAAAATATAATCTTTTTTAATCTTAGTATTTAATATGGGTGGACCATACGCTAACGATATTCGTATATCTGATCTTCAAGTAAAATCAACTGATGGAAGTTTAATGTATGTTTATCATTGACTGTTTTAATTATCACTCGTTTAATATTATTTCTAGCAATGGCGCCATATGTGATTCGAATACTACAATATCATCTTTTACTGAATATACATTACTTTTCAATCGTTTCCATAAATGAAAAATAAATTCATTTTATCTTCGTGTCGGATTCGATCGGTATCTCCTATACGTAAATCCAATGTTTTTGAAAAATCCTTTAATTTATCCTAAATACCATTGGTTTTACCTATTTTCTTTCTGACACGTTAAAAAAGATAATAAATATGGGAAAAAGTTGTCCGTTTTATTATATTTCGTTCTTACTTAAATTCTACAAAGTGTTAAACAACCATTATGACCTTCTCCTCTCCTTCCTGACCCCAAGAGAAGATACTATCCCCAGCAATTTTATATCAAAATGAATGCTCGCGGTAAACTGCATATAGAGGTATGATTAGAGAAGGTACAGTTTGTAACATTATTACGATGCTAGACTCGACACATCAATTTGTCATACATAACACAGCATCATGTCAATAGAAACAATACAAATAATCTTTTTACATACTCAAATTGTCTGTTCATAGGTTGTATTTTTCATTACTATACGTTTTATTAAATATGAAGTGTATTAGAGTAATATGTCACGTATTTTGCGAAGTTCTCATTTACTAATGCTGTGTTTAACTATCACATAGTACGTACACGAGCTGAATAACATGTTTATTGGGAATTGTAAAAAGTCTTACTGTCGATATATAGTTTAACTAAGAAACAGAGTCTAAGATTCCATGAGAAAAAGTTTTACAAAATATCAACGAATGATTTATTAAAAATGGTGAGCTAGCCGATCAAATTATTCTCCAATAAAAGTTTACGAACAACAAAATCATGTTTCTGTCGATGATTTATTTGTAATTTCGATATTAAGTTGCGTACATTCTTTTTCTTCGATTTGTTTAACATCGAAGAGAAAACCTGGTGTAACCCATCGGCCACAGGAGCATTTCAAACCATTTAGATCATAATGCCCAACAGTCGTTGAACAACTGGGACATTTTATCGAATTACTATGTCGATTTTCCGGTGTGTCAATCTGGGTCATTAGCCAATCTAGACAATGGGTAAAAATGGTTTCTTCACATTCTTTGTCTGTCGGCAGTTTCAAGCATCGATCGCTTCCGTATTTCATGAACCAATCGAATAACCCAATGCCTTTGGAGTGTCGGGACACATCTGCATTAGTAAATAATTCTTTGCGACACTGTCGACATAGATACGTTTTGATAACTGTGCATTGTGCGTGACCATGGGGAAGTGCGAAAGCTTGACGATATTGTTGACGAAGAGTATTCTTTGCATCAACACCATTCATTTCAGTGTCATAATCGAGATAAATAGCGCGCGCACGTTCAAATTGAAATCCTCGATACAAATCATGGTTCACATCTAATTGATGGTTCATTTGTTCAAATAGATATAACTGAGCAGCAAAACTAAGGTTTGGATGAACGACCGGACGTGCAGCTGTGAGACGTTTCAATGCGACATCAGCAGATAGCTTATATCGACGCATGAGCCACATGCATGCAATAGTAGCACTGCGGGAGACGCCTTAAATGGTAGAAGTGAATAGAAATTTTATGAGAAAATAGAACGAACCAGCAAGACAATGAATAAGAACATTGTTCGTTTCATTTTCAGCCAATGCATTGGATATAAAGTCATAACAGGCATCAAATTCAATTAGTAAATCAGTTGTTTCAACGTCTTCAACACGGATATGTTTGCGAGTATATTTACCATTGATATCAGTTGGTAAATCTGAATTAATCACGCTTAAAATATGAGTGATATTGAGTCTATCTAAAGCAATAATGTTTATCATTGCATCAAAATCCCCAAGCCATATACGATCATCGATGAGATCTGCACTGAACTCCATTCCTATCTTTCAAGAGATTAACAATCTACAAAAAAGACCTGAGAGCATTAGTCGTATAGTTATGATTTATTTCCGAATGAAACATCTTTTATAAATAAAAGAAAAATGAAGTCTTTATTATTTGAATTGATTAATTGAAAATATCCGTTTCTAATTGCCACTCATTTTTTCCTTCAGCAATACGTTTCCAAACGACCTGATAATTTCCTTGACCAAGTGAATGTTTATACGAGCTGGTTTCAATCAATCGATCATGCCCAGCTTCGATTACAGTGCCTGTTGTAAGACAAAGATTATCAACACCGACATCGCGTGCACCTTGCCAAAATTGTTTGATATGTTCGCGTCCTTCATATTTATTTTTGTCTGCAGGAAATAGTCGTCCATTCGGTGTATAAAGGTTGGCTAATTCACCGATTTTTCCGCTATTGAAAAGCTGCTCAAACTGACGGTTTGCTGTATCAATCGTTTCGAATGGTGTAGACATGGTTTTTTGCTCTATTAAACTGAGTCCGGAGAAAGCCTCTACTTATATGACTTGCACGCATCATCGACTATTTGTTTTAAAAAATAGGTTTATCTTGTTTTTTTCTCGCTCAGTACTCATAGAGATACACAAATTTGACGATATGTAGGTAGCTTTTTTACGCTTCGATGAACTTTTGCAACAAAAATAAAGGTTAGATTTCGTTATCAACATCCGACATGAGTTTTATACTACAAAATCAATCAAAATTAAAGAAACAGAAAGCAATAAGTAATTGTTTTAGTGCATTATAAATCAGTTTTTAAAATAATACGAAGAAGGATCTCTTCATTGATATGTACAAAGAGACTATATTTACAAAGACTTTGAACGCTAAGCGAATAGAAACCATCGATAAAAAAAATGAAAGATGTCTGATAATAAAAATGAAATAAAAAGAAACTTTTCAAATGTTGTTTTCATCATTTTTGATATTGACTGAGATTATTTAACAGTTACTTTCGCAGATAGGTGTTGACTAGATCTGTTTAGAGCTGTATTTTCTTTTTCAGGAGTAGTTGTAGTTACTGTTTGTACTTGCTTTTGTTGATCTTCTTCATCGCTTAATGATGTTACCGACGAAATCATTTCAGGACTTGATAGGGATTTGAGTTCAGGAGCCAAATCGTTCTGAGGATTGAGAAGATTCGAGGAAAGTTTACGAACGAGTTCATATTGATCATCATCGGTATTGGTAGTAGTGATCGATTGACTGGAACGATTGGATGAAGAAGAAATCGAATCAGTGGACGACCTTTTATTGATCGATCCTTCGAGTTCAATGGAAAGCGTTCTACTGAGAAATAGAATTACGGAGAAAGACGTTTGGCTTGTCATTGAGCAAAACTTACGAGTCATTGACAGGTGTGGGTTTTTGGCTGTCTGATGTCGAGAGATTTTTGGGTGGGGTGTTGGAATCAACATACTGAGTTTTCTTGCGGCGAAGTTCGACTTCATCTCGAGCAGTTCGTCTATTTAAAGAGAACAATAAATTGAAATGTTCTATGATTGGATACGTACAATTCGAGTTGAAGTTCAAGAATGATGTTTTCCATCTGTAGGACTTCACTTTCTCGTTCACCTTGCAGAGTGTCATATCGAACTTTCAATTGATGCAATTCTCGATCACGATGTCTGAGCAGCTCTTCAAAATATTTCTAAAAGAACGGAAAAAGTTATTCGAAACCGATCAGTATCCGACTTACTCTCTGTTCAACTTCGAGTTTGTGTTTCTCTAACGCAATCACCCCACAATCTGCCGAATTCATCGACGATGGTTGTTTATTTTCTTCATTACTAATCTGACCTGTAAATAATGGTTTCATTCTAAATGAACAATTAAACTTTCGTACGGAAAACAATCTAAATATCTTCGTTTTACTGTTTGGGTTTATAAGATAGAAATGGCGTCAGATCGATAACATCAATTTCGGAATCATTCATCATGATTGGTGCGATAATCGGACCGTCTTGTTTGAAACAAAAACTGAAATCTAGTGTATTCAAAGCCGCTAATTGATCACATATAATGAATGCTTGAGATGAAGTCATAATCGAATCATCGTGATAGTATTTTCTAAACGAAATCAAAGGTAATGTGTGTTTCGATGAGGTCGATGAGAATCATACCGGACAAGATGACAATCGGATATGACTAGTTTCAAAAGTTCAGATAATTTCTTTTCCATTAAAGCAAATTTAAGCCATGCTCGACCCTAAAAACGAGCAAGATATGAAAAATTCAATGGATATCACAATTATCGTACTTTGTCCCTTGCACATCGGGAATTCGATACTTCTTCCACTCGCTCAATAACTGAAAGGTAGAAGTGAATGGTTGGCAATGAAATACTTGAGTTTAGTCTTACTTGACTGGCGACAAGAACCAATACATGCCGGTCGAATAAAATCCCAGAAATATGATCGACTAGTTAACCAACTTCCTATAAAACTAGATATGAAACTCTTTGCTGATGAAGAAAATCTGTTTTGTTTTACCTCGCATACGAAAACTAAGAATGCGCTCGAGTACGAGAATAAAATTAGTCACATCTCTACTTCGATCGTCCAGCACGGGCGCAACTGGTGTTGATGAAGATTGATCAATCAATGTATTCAACGTCAATCTAATAAAATATCTGATTTCTTCACATTTTTAATGCAGTATAAACAACATTACTTGATCAAGCAAAGTAGATTTGCTTTTTCTCGTTCGATATTTACACTTCCATCAACGATTAATGTGGCCATGTCTTATCTAAAAGTAAGTTCAAATTTTCGTCATGAAAATCTGAAAAACAAACTAAATAAAGCAATTTTTTTTGTTTTCAAAGAAACGTAAAGGATCATCAATATTCTCCTTCATGTCTATGCATCTACGTTTTTCTCCCAGTTCGTCTGTTTCTCTTCTTCGCATTTGGTTTCTTGGAACCGACTTGTCAATCCATATCGTTCGACAGAAAAAACACGAATTCTTTTCACAAGACAAGGAAAAAACAGAAATAGATAAATCCATATGTACATACAAAGTTAAACATGAGATACTGACGAACAGGAATATGTATATATCTTATTTGAAACTTTCTAACGGTAGTAATTATTGTATCCTCCTCCTCCTCTACGTTGTTGGTTATAATTTCCATTACGTTGCTTCATATGGGAATGATCTTGATCGTTTCTATTATATGGATGATACGAGTGTTGTTTTCGACGGTCAAATCTTTGTGGAGGCATTCGATCCTCGTATGAAAACTGTGACTGAGCTGGATAGTTATTACTATCATGATTATTAGAAAACAGTGGGACTGGTAATGGTTGCTGCTGTTGCTGTGATGAATGCCAAGGAGCTGCGGAACGATGTAGTAATGAATCGTTCACATAGAGTTCTGGTGTGTAAGGTTCATTTGGATTATTATTAAAGTCTTTATTTGCAGAACGAGCTGCGAGACGTAACGGACGATTAAATAACGAAACATTTTCCATAATAGCTTCAGCATATGGAACTGATTCTTCATGTTTGAAAGTGATAAAAGCAAATGATCGTCGTCCATCACGTTTGATTGTAACTGCTTCTAAGGGACCACTCTGAAAGGCAAAAAACGCGAGATGGAATTGTAATATCAAAATAATTGATTCGTACTTGAAGAAACAGTTCGAAGAGCATTTCCTCCGTGACATGTTCGTGCAGATTTCCACAATACAGTGTTCGACGGTCTTTATTATCACGATGCGACATATCTAAATCGGATAATTTGACATGAGATACAATGAAAACAAGATGATAAAAATGAAAAATGTCTTCTCTTGCTTATTTATTATTATTGACGTTCTTTCAACGGAGAGCCAATCGGAAGATCAGGTAACAGAAAAATTTTTGTTGCAATTTAAAAAAGATTATTTTCAACTTTATAAAAATTTTTCCTTGACCATGAGAAAGAAATTCAAGGAGGAAAATTCTGAAAAAAAGGCATTGATCGTCATGCTCGATTTTCATTGGTTGACAGGCAACTGAGATGAATCATAAACACGCGATATAAACCCGGTCATACTATTTCTTATTATAAGTACAAAATAAAACTTTCTTTGAGAAAACAATGACGGACGAAGTCGTTTACCCACTTGACTCAAGTAAAACTGGATTTTGATTTGAAATTCAGGAAAAAATTCGCATTTTGGTTTTTTAGCCACACTAAATCGGCATTTCATCCAATTGATCTCCTGTGGGGATGACTACCAATTCCAAGAATTGATCAAAACATTCATTCCGGTGCTTATCCGTAGTATTGAAATACAAACGGATGATTTTAGAAAAAAAGTGAGTGATGAGCATCGTGATGATGTCGCTTATCTTCTGTTTAGGCACTCGAAATATTCATTCACGTGAATAAACGAGTCAAATCTCGTCCAGAAATTCAAATCCCGGTGAGAAGTCTTTTAGAAATTTTTACCACCTCAACACAATGCTCACCATTTTCTTCAGTAAGCAAAATTTTGATATTTCATTAGAATATAGTCCGATTTCCCTTACCTTTCGTAGAATTTTTCGATAATGTACATTAAAATGGGTTTTATGCGCTTAAAATCTGATATTCAAGTGGAACTTATTCCACTTCTGTTTCAATCTTTACCGAATCGAACAACTTCACATCAAGAATTACTCATGGGTCTTATTGTTTACGCTTTACAACACGTTCGAATTATTCCAAATATGCAGGAGAATATTGTTAAATACGGTCTTGTTGATCAACCGACAATTCGACATTTATTTCTTAATTTTCTTCTAAACGTTCTTTTGCTATCTTACAAGTTTGATGAAACTAAATCTCGCACTGTTCCTTCAACGCATCAATCCCGTGTGGAACCATCTCAAGCACCTGTTGACGAGATTCTTTTCTCTACCATGGAAGATGCACCAAGCAAAGATATCGAAGTATTCAAACAGCCATTTCCATGTATGAACCAATCATTGTACAAT